ATTTATCACAACAAGCTGCATACAGCTATCTAAGTCCTAGCCAAACCATTTACTCTGGCCTGAGGCCTGAGGTACAAGATTCAGACAAAGATCTGTGTATCATATGTGGGTGTACCACACACAGCAATCAGCATTAGTCATCAGCATGCAGACAAAAAATGTTCCTGAGAATCACAACTTAAGGAGCAAGTGGCAATGACCTCAACCTATCCATTACTCTTGCTCTTTAGTTATCTTTTTTGAATGTGGTGAAATAAATGCATACGCTTCCATGCACTCTTGGGAATATGGTCAAATACATCCATGTGAAAAATGATAGTAGGGGAACCAATGACAGCTGGTACTCCACTTACCTAAACTAGTGCATAACATCCATAGTTGGTCACGTCGTATGTCAGGATGCGATGAATCAAGACGTCTCAACTGATTTCCGACCTTTCTGGACCGGGCACGACTGATGGGTGGCACGCAAGTGACAAATTCTCGCCTCGGGTTTATCACTCCCAGCCTTTGATGTGCTCAAGATCACAGATGGTAAATACAATATGCACTTACAGCATCACTAACATCACAGCGAACACACTTCCCCAGCTTCAGAACAGTGACATGATACGAAGCCACTCGCTTCCCACGCGCACCGCCTTCCCCCTCTCACGCCAACATCAACGAACTGCGACTGCAAAGAAAACAATGGCGTAAACGACGCAGTGGTTCGCGTCACAATCGTATGACTTCTGCACAGCACAAATGAATCACAACAGAACGCTGGACTTCTTCGAAGCAACCTACCAATTGCTGTCATGCTCCCGCGATGACGCAACGGCTGGTAGGTCGATTGAATCTAATATAGGCAGAAATGGACTTAAACTACTGGTTTTTCGACACAGTAGAAGCTCAGAGGTCTTATGCTGACGGTTAGCGACCTTCATTATACCGGGAGGTTCTAATTAAACGACATTAGCCAGACACTGGTCAAAACCTGTGATTATCAGCTCATCTCGAAACGTTGAGTGGTGTTTGTAATGCTTACTTGATAAATTAACTTGAACAGTACCCCCTGTTGTATCGAAGTTAAACAGCTTTAAGCAAAATAGACCTGAACTTAAAAAAGCTCGCAAAAAAGTTGGTAGGTTGGTAAAAAGTTCCCCTTCGAATTGTCAATAGACCATTGGAAACAGCTCGTAGCAGGCTGTTTAAAACAGGTGTCTTGCAACAACAACAAAAAACACTTGTACTTCCTTGCCAGTGTGTTCGCGTATTTTTTTCTACGCTAAGCATTAAAAGTAGAATCCAAGGCGATATGTATTGTTGAAACTGTCTTATATCTGATTATCACCAAGAAGTGAACATGGTGGAAAGTTGCAGATGCAATATCCATTCAGGTACGTCATTTCTTAAAATGTTGCATTTATCATTGTTTGCGAATGCAGCGCCGGTGAGACGTTCGCTTGCAAGGTTATAACCGATGCATTGTAAGCTTGCATGGAGTCGTGCAGGTGAGGGGCGGGTGGCGCCGGAGCGCACCATGGGATGGGAATGGCGATGGCATTTGGGTATTTTTTGCTGGTTTGGAGTCCATGGTGTTTTTACCCTTCTCCAGCAGTCCACACTAGAGATTATCAAGGATGTTATTCTCAGCTTATTCCTCGCGATGCGTCAGCGACAAGCATCACCAAAATCATGTAGCGCTAGTTCATGTTAAATGCTGACACAATTATCCAGATTTTTTGGGATTATTGAGGTTCTCAACTACACTCGCAGATTAGTACGATATTTGAAGGCTGTTTCGGAGTGGGAGAAAAGCTTGCACAGAGTGGATTGATTGTTCAATGTCCATTGACCATATTGTACCACAGAAGAGAAACAATGTTGACTTCTGAAAACCAATAATGATCCCTTGCCCCTGCCTCTCAGCCATGCCACTGCCCCAGCCTGAAAATATCCATTTGATGCTCTGAACACCCACCTACCCACACCAACCTTGTTTGCTTTACATTGTGCTTGGCACCACCAAACTCTGCCAGGGGCAAATGGCAAATAATTTTGCAACGTGTTTCACATGGAGATTGTTAATGAGGGATTTCTTTTCACAATTACCTACACAATGGTATAGTCTATGAATATTGGCTATTGAAATTGCAATGTCATGTCAAACTCTGAGCACTCAGATTTGCATCAAACTGGGTATGCATGCTGAATTCTTCAGACACACTGCTACAACACCAAACATGCTTAATAACTACATGTCTTTGCTACCATTTATTGTTCCCCTGCAGATATCCCCAGTGCACCACTTTGCCCTGGTGTGTGATGTCCACCAGCCCAGTCCAGTCACAGTGGCAAACTAGCCTGAAGCAAGGGAACAGGACTTCTCAGCATTTGCCAGCTGAGGGGCTCCAGCCACATGTTCTTGTAGACCAGAATATGGTGATGACTCTCTTCACCCATGTTCCTTTGTGTGACACCTACTAGTGCCCTCTTTCCTTCCTAAGCTGTGTAACCAGATTCTTTTGAGCAGGCTAAGAGCTCTAGTGATTTGTGTGTGTGCTTGATCAGGGCATTCAAGGATCACAGGTGATGCCTCCAAGGGTGCCATGGTCAAGTCCTTTGCCACCCTCCAAGGATGCTTAGTTGATTTCTTTCCCATCCTCCAAAGGTGCTTAGGTTGAGTTCTTTGCCACCCTCCTAGGGTACTTAGGTTGAGTTCTTTGCCACCATCCATGGGTGCTTAGGTTGAGTCCTTTGCCACCCTCCAAGGGTGCATAGGTTGAGGTGTTTGTCACCCTTCAAGGGTGCCTAGGCCATTTCCTTTGCCACCCTTAAAGTGTGCATAGGTTGATTCCTTTGCCACCCTCCAAAGGTGCTTAGGTTGAGTCTTTTGCCCCTCTCCATGGTTGCTCATGTTGAGTCCTTTTGCCACCCTCCATGGTTGCTCATGTTGAGTCCTCTTCCATCCTCCATTGGTGCTTAGGTTGAGTCCTTTGCCACTCTCCAAGAGCATTTAGGTTGAGTCCTTTGCCACCCTCTGAGGATGCTAAGGTAGGGTCCTTTGCCATCCTCCAAGGATGCTAAGGTTGGGTCTTTTGCCACCATCCAAGATTTTTGGATGGTACATAAGCATGGTGCATAGCTAGCCCAATATATGGGGATGTGAAAACCTACTGTGTGTCTACCATCATGTTTCTTTTTTTTAGAATGTGCCTGCCCAGTGCATAGTGACTCTCCATTTTTGCAGGGGTTACCTGTATGATAGCTTTTCATTAACCTTATTTGTTAAACTGCATGTGAACTACAACACTGACAGTGTCCCATGGTGGCCAGCCATATTTCAGGTGCAGAATGTCCTGTGCTGAAGTACACAAATGGAAGACATGCCTCTAATGCAATGATAGATGGGCCTGGACAAAAATTAATGAATTAACCCATGTTTGAAATTTGAAGTCAACCCTAAACATAATGCCAAGCTCCTGGTCTTTGGTTTCATGCAATGTGAAAAGTCTGCAGGCAGTTTTGTCACCACTGCAGCTTAAACATGCAGTGTCTATGGATCTGTACTTGGTTGTAATTTATGGTCTTGGCCACACTGTACTCTTCATATGGAATGACTCCAGTCTTTAGTGTGGGGCGTTTTATAATGAACTTTTGGATGATATTTGATCTGCATGTGTCTTCCCCCAGTGAGGGCAACTGATGACGCTGAAGCGAGAACGAGTTTGCGTGGGAGACTTCAAGTGCATTTTAAGATTTGTGTGGAGGAAGGGGCGATGCTTGCGGCCTGCAGATGGCTCAAGACCGGCAGCACATCCTTCGGTTTCATTTATTCCAATGCGTAAAATGCACTTATTTATATCCTGTTGATCTCATTCAGTATCATTGCAATGTTTAGGGGTACCGGTATGGCAAAGACCCTTTACAACTGAACATACATTGGGGTATTGGACGAATTCTGTGATATTTGATGCCCTTGATGCACTTGGCTGATCAGAATGTAATTCCGGATGGTGAAGGCAAGTAATTAATCCTCTTAACCTGGCCCTTGGTAACCTGGTCCAATAAAATCTGTTACCTGCAGCAAGTCCGCACTGGCTGTGTTCAGAACCCATAATAAAGAAATGCTCAGAATGACATGGCTTGTCAATTCTCACGTTTTGAACTGCTCAAGTTGCTTGTGTTACGAGCAGTGAGCCAAGCAGTGGGTTTCACGTACCATGGGCTGTTGCAATCATTGACCACACAGTTGGAGAGATGGTTTCTTGACAAGCTTGATTCAGCTGCTGGTTGCCATCTTGCAAGCTTATCAGAAGAAACCAATAACATAGAATAAACCAGTTTGAGGCCATGATCAACTGATGAACAGGCACTGTCGCAAGGCAAACGCGCGATAGATGCAATGCCAGCCTACGGCTCCATGATAATTCAATATTATTGAGTGCATGCTCTTGGAGAATCCTCGATGCTGGAGATCGTCAGTGTGTTCTTCCCGTGGACCCGCCTTTCAAATGATTTTTTGCTATCTGCAGGCCGTGGACATGTCATTTGACAAATAAGTTGAACAAGCATGAATGTGTTGTTCTTTTGAGCTGTTGCATGTCCTCTGGGAGTGGACCTGAAGGCGTGGCAACTTCATTGTGTTATTCATGTGTCATAGTATAGACACCAAAAGTGGACAGATTGAGCTGGAGTGAGAAATTGTTGCTTACCTCAGCTGCAGTGACCTAGATCAGATACAGCATTGCAAATCATATATATATATATATATATATATATATATATATATATATATATATATATGTGTGTGTGTGCGTGCGTGCGTGCGTACGTGCGTGCGTGCGTGCGTGCGTGCGTGCGTGCGTGCGTGCGTGCGTGCGTGCGTGCGTGCGTGCGTGCGTGTGTGTGTGTGTGTGTGTGTGTGTGCGCGCGCGCACTCGCACGCGTGCGTGCATGCGATCAGTATCCCGATTCTGCTGCATCCTTATTCACTATTTCCACTTTTATAGAGATGTTGCCTTGGCACAGCATTGCCTCCATATATTGGTTTTCAATATGCCACTGAAACAAAACGAGGCACAGAACAAACATGCATCAAGAGACCTTACTATGTGATTTCAAATATTGGACTTGGTTGTTGGACACCACAATTTTTAGTTAATTATCGCACCAACCATAGCTTGAAACAAGTCATGTTTGCCAACAAATGCTCATGAGCACCCTGAAGAACATTCAATCTCATCAATATCATAGCAGACGGAGCGTGGTTTCGGAGAGGGGTCACCGCCACCCCTGCCCCTGCCCATGCGCCAGTGTTCGGCACTGTCCCTCCATATCGACGTCCTCCATGCGAGACTTTCTGTTACGTAAAGAATAAGTGAACGCAGCCCGTCTTCTCCTCTATCCCCATTCGCCTAGCATTCAGTCCTCCTCCTGGTCGAACCGCACGTTCTCGTGCATCTGGGGCGTGATCTCGTACACCTTCTCCAGAATACGGGCGATGATCTTTTCCTTGTGCTCCACCACCTCGGCCTGCATGGCCTTCAGGCGCTGCGCCGTCTCCGCGTCGACCCGGGTGACCATGGCGTCCTTGCTGTCAGTGTTGGCCGTCTCGGAATTCTTGAATTGTCTCTCGTGCTCCCTGCAACACGAGGAACCGTCAGAATACGAAGTGCGGACAGAACACGCCACGTGCTTGGCTAAGTTGCGTTGCTTGGCGGCTGTTGATTCAGCTTTGCACCAGGAATTATATTTATTCTATTATATTCTAGTGGGCTGTATAGTGGGGCTACTATCCGAAGTGTTCCTGTGATTTTGGCTGTGGTTGGATCATATGTTCATGCATAAAGCACTTTCGGCGCCAGTGATGCTGCCAAATGTTACGCTGGCTCTGACGAGGTTTCCAAACGTGCCGCTTGCATTTTGTTTGTGAAAAACGAACAGAACCAGCAGTCCAAGCACAGAAAGCTCGAGGAGCATCTGCGGGCGGTGACGGACGAGTGCATCGTTCGCCCGCGTGGAGGAACGGCCATTACGAAGCTGCACACCCAATCTGGTCACGTGCCCCGTTTGCTAGAGAAACCCAGCTCGCTTTGTTCTCTCAGCCAGGCTTGGGCCTCCCTGACTTCAAGACGTCTGCGTAGGTTTTGGTCCAGTCTGGGCCAACTGTATGTTGCCGGTGCGTTTACAGTTTACTGACGAATGCAACGCTACTTGCCCAATTCTTCCATGATCTGGCGCGTATTATTTACACCCTTATGGTACATATATATATATATATATATATATATATATATATATATATATATATATATATATATATCATTGTTTCCATCCATATTCGTCAGACTATTTCCAGATATGAGTAACATTAGAGCCGTGGGTGTAACCGCGCCTCCGATGTTGGGAGGGTCATATCACCGTTATAGGGATCTAACTGAAATCAGGTGAAGGTAGACAACCTGACCTGAAACTGACATTTTGAGGGGACAAAACCGTAAAGACGTGCATTCCGTGGGTCGACTTAAAGCGCCCAAAATCTGCCTTGGGAAAATTGGAGGGTATTTACCTCCAGCCCCTCAGTGCCTGCACCCATGGTTCGAGCCCCAAGAACTGTATTCCGTATTCTCGAGCATTCGGATAATGCGGTGGGGTTCAGTGTTTCGGGATAAGTCAGCTTGGTCTGGTGTAAGGTTGTCACCATCGTTCTTTGCCATCCATCCATCGTGTCGTCATGTCACCATCCATTAAGTCGGTTTATGAGAAGAAGAAAAAAAAACATGGGAAAAAAGTAACTGCCATGCGCTCGACCCTCGGCTATACGTTGTATGGTCAATACAATATACGGTATGTAAAATGCCGAAGTCTTCAATAACAATAATTGTTGGAATGGAACAATTCACCAGACACCAGCGAGCTAGAATCTGTTTATTTCCGTCTAATCGTAGGTGTTTTAATAAAAGTACTGCTCATTTTGAAAACCTGTGCACGGTAGGTGTTGAATAATGCACAGGTCTCGTGATTGCCGTTCAATTTGATGGCCATGTGACATAGGTGGCGCTCGCTACAACATCACGTGAGTCAGCTGATAAGTGGTGACGCACCTTCGTTTTTCTCCTAACAATGCAGTTATTACGCCAGTCATTACGCTGAAACACGCTTAACTTGCATGTTGTACTATAACAAATATTTTATGCATCTATGCTACACTCTGCAAGAATTTCACGTCAATGACGAGGGCAGAAGTACGCAGGTTGGCTACCCACCACCTTGAAAAAATGCAACCGTTAGAACGCACCAGCCAGTTCACGCCACACGGGAGCCCAGCCGTGGCGGCTCTATACATCGCCCCAGGCGGTGCTCACCTCTGCAGCAGCTCCACCTCCTTGTCGGCCTCCTCCTTCGCCGCCTTGAGGGTGCGCACCTTGCGTCGCTTTGACTCCTCGATCTTCTCTGTGGCCTTCTTCTCGGCGGCCAGCAGCGCCGTGATGCCCTCGCTGGTGCGCGTCATGGTGGCGGTGGCCTGATGTCGGCGGAAGGAGGTGCGGCGGACGGCGGCGGCGGGCGGCACTGGCCGGTCTCGCTGACCGCTCGCCGCCGCGGCCGCCTTATCGGCCGACGATAGACGCTATCGGGCGAATGAGTGGCTGGACTGCTGAGAGAGGAGCGGTGGGATCACGGGACTCAGTCCGCACAGGCCGGGAGAGGAGCAGCGGGATCACGGGACTCAGTCCGTGCAGGCGGGAGAGGGGCGGTGGGATCGCGGGACTCGGTCTGTACAGGCCGGGAGAAACGGTCCATGGTAGCTGATGGATGAGAGGAAGCATCACAGGACTCCCGCATACGCGAAAGTCTGTGAGGAGGAACCGCGGTACTCCGCCCATTGCGTGGACTTGAGGCGAAGAGGGAAGTCATGTGCCCCCCCCCCCCCCCGACGTACCGTCGGGGGAAATTGAAGAATAATCATGCGACTTCCGAACAGGCTAACACCCGCAGGCTGAGCCAGTAAGGATGGAACAGCGAGTTTACTCCGTGGAGGTTCGGGGGGAGAAGAGGAGGAGGTACGGGACTCGCAACACGCCGGAAGGAGAGCAGAGGAAGGACCCCGAGGCCTTAATCGCACCAGATGGGGAGGAGGTCAGGGATCGTGGAACTCCTACTCCCGCTCCCGGGGAGTAGGGAAGAGATCTCGGGAATCCCGCCGTGCGTATGGCGCGACAGACCAGGGTTGAGGTACGGAAGGGGCTGGCACTCCCAACCCGCAGGCTGGGAAACAGGGGACGCTAGAGGGAGACAGAAAAGGTGCGTGCGGCGCTGGTGTATACAGTATAAAGATGTGAAGACTGCAGGGTACGATGACGAGTAACACGTGGTTGTACGTATCACACGATAGGCCGGAAGGAAGTCGACGGTTGAAATGGCCTGCGCGGGAAGTCGGGCCAAAGACTGGAAGCCTGCCGGGGGAAAGGCAGGCACAAAGTACCCGCGCGGCGATTTGTGTGACTCCAGAACGCGCGTGACTGGGTGGAGGAGCGCCGTGGGCAGGTCTCTAACACGAGTGAAGTCTTACCGTTCGTCGGGATGGCGCTTTCACCCGTATGTATTGCATGCATTTGCCAGCAGGTAGGATCCGGATTTTTTTTGTTGAAAAAGTGGCTAATGCGTATAATGTAATTAAGGTAGTGCAACATTGTTGCTTTCTTTAACGCAGCTTTATTTGCCTCATTGCCTTGCGTGCCCGCCGCGAGATCATGGATTGCATGCGTGAACAAGTGTCATCTCGAGCAAAGCCTTTGGGGAGAGCTCCATCTTTGAACAACACGACAAGAACGTTTAGTCACCTCTCCTCTGGCTCATCCAAAAAGCCTGTGTTAACGCGCTGCTTCGGTTTGCTCATTCTCTACCGAAACTTGTTTTTTAAACCTGCTTTGGCCAGACAGCCTGTGGTACTTATGAGGCGGCGGGCACGCGACGCTCGGCAGACTGATTGCGGGTTGCCAAAACTGCGTGCCCCACACTGGAAAGATTGCGAAACGACCCCACCTTCCCCGCCGCGATAACATCCGTTACGCCGGCGTGGCGTGTGCTGGCGAGAGCTGCGCGCTGCCCCGCTGTTGCCACCAGGTAAAACGTGAAATGGAGGGAGCGCTCCCTAGGTAAGCAGGAAGCTCAGGCGGACTTGCGCTTGGATTTTTGTCGAAGGCAAGTACCGGGCCGCGGTTCCTGCTTGTGACAGGTGGGATGACGTCACCGGCGGAAATGCAGCCGGTATTGTGGACGCTCGATCTTTATCAGGGAGGCTGCTGCCGGTTTTCTTCGCTCGCGCCCCTTCCGCCACATATTCAAGCTCAGACCAGTCACGTATGGGGGTTTGCTTGCCTGAACTTTCTGTAAAAACATTCGTTTCCACGAAAGGCGCCGTGGGGGGCTGAATTCCAGGGTGCGCTATGGGCGGCGCGAATGGGAGGAGTCTGGAAAGCTACCTCCCAGTGGAATGTTTTGTTCTCTCGGACAAGAAATGATTGTATTGTAATTGATTGTAATTCGTTGCAAAACCTACGAAAAGGGTTTTGCCTGGTCTTCCTGAGCTCCACTTTCCCTCCTCGAGGATTGGCTCCCCCCCCCCCCCCCCCCCGCCCCCTGACACCGCTGGGTGTCAAATCGTGGCGCCGCCACCAGCATTATTATCCAGATTTTAATCATAAGGGTCAGCGGGATAACTCCCCTTCTGTGATCAGCCTTGAGATCGGCTCGACCGCAGGCCTGCTGACGATTGGCTGTTGAAGAGCGCCAGTGTTGCTGTTTAGGAGCCGGCTTGACCTTGCGTGCTCTCTTCTCGTAGTCCACAAGAGCATAATATGGAAAGCTGGATGTCCGCAGATACGAGTCGGGTCTGAATTTCCAGTTTGGTATTGTGTAGGGTTTAACGTGGTGGGCTTTAGTGACTATGGAAGGCATGACGGTTCTTTCGAAGAACTCGTGTAATTAGGCACATATGTCCCACATCCCTTGTCTCAAATTTGTATGTTGTGGTTGCACTGCCTCCAAAACGGTCTTGCCTGGTCTTCCTGAGCACCACCACCGCCCCTCCCCCCTCCGCACACGTGATTTCCGTAAGGAGGGGTAAGATCTCATGAGCGCCCTATCATGATTGGATCCCCATGGAAGAGAAAAGGGCCACGACTCATCCTGGCGTGTGCTGACGCGTTTCGCTGCGGCTCAGGGCGCTTCCCCGACCCGGCCAGAGTCGGGTGGGGGGCTCAGCGGAGCCCGTGCCGGGCACGGCGCTGCCACCGCCGTGCATACTTCCGCACCGTCGGAGTGAGCGGATCGCGAGCGGAGGCCTGAAACCCAGGCGCGCCGCGCCGTCGCCAGGCGTCCGCGCCCGTGCGCACCGCGAGCCGGCGCCGAACACGACGCGGCGAACCGCTCGGCGGGCGCGCGTGTTCGCGGCCGGCAAAGAGTGACACCCGGATTTGGCGTCGTGAGTGGGATCGCGTGTCGCGGCCGTCTCAGGTGCAGCGCGGCAGCCGTCACCGAGCCGCTTATCGGAACAAGATTATCCCATGCGAAGGCCGCGCCGCGCCTGCTTCCGCGAACCGCCGCCGCGCGGCGCCACTTGACCGCGGGGCGGCGCTTCCGTGCAGATGGTATCAGCTGGTGGCGCGCGTTCGATCAGGGCGCACGTCTTGAGGTTTAGCGGCCTGCAGTTGTTTGGGTTGTCTCAGTCATACATCTGGTTAATCACAGGCGTCCACGCGTGTATTGTCGGCGTGCCAGGGTGCGGGACATTCACATGTCGGGCTGGTTCATTAGTGAACATAGGCGCCGACGGGGCGGTGCTGCAGAGGTATTCACATGTCGGGCTGGTTTGTTATTGAGTTAGGGCGCCAACTGAGCAGTGCTGTGGGCTCACAGCGGCTGTTGACAGTCTTCCACGACACGGAATAATTTATATTGGAGGACCTGTCGCTACGGAGGCCACGGAAACCTTGTTATACGGCCTTGCAGCATCAGCATTCTATGCAAATATGGGGCATTGCCGGCTTGGTAAGGAGGGAGTCAGAGATAAGGAAGCATTTATTTACTGCTGGCTTGCGGTCAGATGCAGCCGACGTGCGGGTTCCACTGTCAGCATGCCTCCGCATGGAAATGAAATAAGCTTGCTGATGCCTATCTTATAACAACCACAATATGTATTGTAACAGAGGCCTAGGCGAAAACTATGTTGCTTGATCATGAGCCAAGTGAACTTCCTGCCTCCGACCGTGTGATGGCTGATGGCAGATAGGATTGTCAATGTTCCAGGCTCAGCCGATGCATTGACTGAGCGTTGCTACCATGTAACCAAATAAGCAGGATGACCCCTTCCCTGCTTGTGACGAGCGTTCCGCCAGACGAAAACGTCCGGTTTCTGGTCCAAACCAAGTTCTGCATCCTGAGGCACTACACGAACGTGTCTGAACGGATTCTCGGCACGGGGGACGGTTGAACTGGTGCGAATCACTTCCAGCGATATGGAAAGTCCGCTGTGCAGCTATTAACAACAAGCCGTGCAAAATATTGCTACGGGCACTCGTCGAGATGAAAATAGCCAGATTCAACCGAACCGATGTTTCGGGATTTTGGGTCGATCGCCTGACCACTGATCACTAGTGATCCGATCACGCTCGTGCAAAAGGCCTGCAGTGCACGCTTACGAACAAAGCATCGTTCGCCAGCACCTATGCCCGTGAACAAGGTTGACTTGTGCCCTTGGATGTATCCTGAACATCACGTGGTCAGCGAGGACCGTGGTAACTGCTGGGCTCCTAGTAGGCTTGACGTTTGGTAGGCCCTGTTACCATGTTGCAGCGGTTTTGATGGACAAAGCGTATGGCGTCTCGCCTTGGCGGTAGGCACCTTTCGTCAACGATGACCAGTGTTATCGGTGGCGATACATTTTTAGCCTCGCAAATGGACTGACTCCTGTGCCGTCATTAACGCCGAAGTATAATAACGCCTTAGCGTGCTGGCTTGCGTCATATGAAGTCTTAAGTGCTCTCAATGTTATCACTGGAACAGAGAGGCTTGGGTCGACAGGTGGTTGTGAGGGTCGTGGGAAGACGGAAATGTCTGGCACTCACTTCCTGCCGTGTAGGAAAGCCCGCTGACGCCATTCAGTGCATTCAAACCAACTGTTCCCATTGAAGTGTGGCGACGTTTACGATCTTCAGAATGGCATGATTTGATGCATAGCCTAGTCCTAGACCGTTGTTATGGTCGTCGGCCGAGATATATGTCTTTCCGCCCTCGACCACGGCATGCCTGGTTCCAGTAACACGTTTCTGATGGGACCGTTGATCGGTTCGTGCAGGTGTGCTGTTCTGAGTAGCCTGGAGGGAGAGGTTTCTCACTGTAGGATAATTTTGCATCCTTCTTTCAACTGACATCCCTGGAAGCTATCCCTATCCATTCAGTTTGTTCCGGGAACGAATGATCCGAACAGGTTTTTCCGGGAAGCAGTTGTTCCACGATCCCGGGGCACTTGTGTCGGGAGCGCGGTAATGCCAGATAAGTCCGTTGGTAAGCGCACATGAATGTACGTCAGGAAAGGCTATGGCACACCGGCATCTTGCGTGCGCGGTGATGTTGGCTGCGTCGATCGCTTATTTGATGTGCTTTGGTCGCGGAATAAGGCCACTGGAGCCGTTGGAGAAATATTTCAGCGGGCGTTCGCAGCATTCGTGCTAGCTGTATCATACGCTCCCCATCAAAACGACGCGGGTGTTGCAAGAATGATATGACTGGAGGCTTATCTCGCGCTTTGTGCACCACATGTCCCATTACATTTCCTTCACTTGATTAACTTTAAGCTTGTAAATCATATGAATGATACACGCCGGCCTCAGATCTATTTTCTTGGCGATTCATTGTTGACTGTGTTAACTGATACGCTGTTGTCTGAATATGCATTGATAGATACTCTTGTTTGTGTGTGCTGTCTTGCATGTAACATTTACTCTTGGCTGTTAAACCGTTCGAATTAGATTTAGTTTCGGTGCCGCCTGAGCGTGATGTCGCGCTCTAGTGCGACAATTTGCCGCTCTGTTTATGAAAAACGTGCCGTTTTTACGTCTCGGGGTAAGCCGCACACCATTTTTATTTTTAGGGCATTTTACCGATTTTAGGATCGATTTTAGGACATCACCGGGTGCACTGCGACGGGCCCAGGGCCGCGCGAGGGACTTGTTCTTGTTCCCCTCTCCGTCTTCAGCGGCCGGGGCCAGCCTCGCAGCCAGACTGTGAGAGGTCTTCACGAGAGATCATTTTACCCCATCCACCTGCTGCCCATGAAGCTGTGCCCATATCCAACTGCTACCCACTCACATTCAATTCCACTCACCAGTTACGCACCCGCTTTCACGGTACCAGCATTTGGAAGTGATTATACAAAAATGGCGTGCAAGTCTCTGGCTCCTTTGCGTGGATAGTTGCAAAGAAGTGTGAATAAAGCTGCTCATGACTACTAAAAAACGCAAGCAGGAATGTTGTGCGGTGTGTCTTGAAGCATCTAGCTCACATCTTGTACACGTTTTACCGATATCTGGACCCACACCTCTACTACTTTTCCCGACACCTGTACCTAACCAGCCCGTTGCGCATGCCATATGGGTACAGATTGGCGTAACCTAGCCGCCAAGTCTTCGACACACCGTGCCTTATCTATACCTTCCCTCCCGCCACCGGGCTCCAAGGGTCGTGAGACCATTGACCCCGTGCCGAGGGTGTTAGCACGAGACCGACCGTGGAAGAGGACTCGGAGAGCAGTGGATTGTTTGTGATCGCGTACATGTAGATGTAGCTGGAAGTTAGCCATGTGAACTTTCGCAGTCACTCATATCGCAGTGGATCTCATCGGATATCGTTGCGTCACAGGCGACGGCCCGCTTGAGCGTCACTGTTAGATGTCCGAATGGATCCATTGGAAAATAGCAGGAAAATGGTGTTACGTCTGTCAGACGTTTGAAGAAATTCAAGAAAGGGAAATTGACCGATGCGCTGTTTCGTCCGTGCTGCGTAGTTGCTGTGTCGTAGGGACTTTCGAGGCGGGAGGTTCCACGGCACGGCACGTGTTTTCGTCGCAGTCCGTCATCTCCCCGCTGATGCTTTGTAGCTGTCGCGCGCAGTGCCGCTATTCGAATGAGACAGGAGGCCAGGGCTTTGACGGGTCCATTGACACCTCTTCTCGAGTCTCGAGATACGTGGTCGTGCCCTGACCCACGATTTGGCTGTCGCCGAGTTTCGGATAGCTCGGCGACCTGGGTGTTCTTCAGTTCTGCATGGCGAATCGCGTAGGCTTCCGACTCCGATGTTGATTTAGTCTGCGGGCCTCGGGCCATATCACGCGGCGCCGGTTTTGCTCCGTCATCTTTGTCTCGACTCTGCCCTCTGCTTGCCTCACCCCATGAGACGCGACCGCGTTCAGACCGTGGACGCCTCTCCGGGCCCTCGTCGCGCCGCCCCTGACTCCGCCGCTGCGCCGCAGGAACGGCCGCCGGCCGCCGCGTGCCGCCCCGCCGGCGCTGCTGAACGCGCCCCTGCGCCGCCACGTGTTGAGATAGCCGACATGTGTAGTGCGCGGCGGCACGCCCCGTCCTGCGGCACGCCCAGTCCGTCCGCTGGCGTATGGGACTGGTGGTACGCTCACTGACCGCCACCGTCGTCGCCGCCGCGTCGGAAGCCCGCAGGTGGGTGATTTGCGATGCTGACACCAGGTGCCGCCGCGTTCGTGGGCGCCTATTTTAAGTATTTGTTATTTCGTCATAAGATCGGATGTGTGCTGATGCTCTTGACGAGATATTCAAATTTGAGTGTCCTGTGTAAGGCCATTGAGATACGCGTAAACTATCTCATTGCTACACTCACTTGCCCCAACTTAGTCAAATGTGCCCCTGTTCCTGGACGGTGGATACTCATCTGCTTTTTTGCCACTGGCTTTTCGCTGCGGTTTGCCTTGCGGAAACTGTGCGTTTTGCCAAAGTTATAACACAGTCGTCCCTTTTACAGCTTATTAAAAATGTTGTCGCCTTTCAATGCGCTTCTGCTTCGGAGAGGTTTGGATGCGAATTCTCCGCCGCAGCCAGTCCCAAACGCTCACAGACATACTTCAGCTGAGCAGGCACACTGGCCAGCTGTAAACATACTCCAGCTCTTTTGCCAGCGGGCAGCGACTGACACAACAGACATAACAGTTCTTCTGACAGCGGCCGTGTCATATCGTGTCCGTCTGACCGGGCGGCACCGTTTTTGCCTGCTGTGGAACGCGACAGTTGTGTGGGGGTCAACCACCTCTTCCGTCTCCCCTCCGTCTTCTGTTGCCTTGCCTCCTTCTGTCACAAACGCCGGGCGTCCGACACCAGTGTCATCTTTGGTTTCAGCTCGGCGTGGTTTCCCGTTATGGTTTTAGGGCGAGAGCAGCAAGATTTCGCGTTTCTGAGCGACGTATAGTTGGGGTCGGTGGCTGTGTAGGCATGTTTCTGCATTTCCCGCCTGGAATCAGGGTACTGAAGCAAGGAAACACTTAAATCATAAATGCACTATAGCTGGTTGATTAGATTATTAGTTTTAGTCTGCCGGGACATGCAATCAATCAGTGAGTTTCATATGAATAAAATTAATTCGCATTTCATGTTTCTGCGATGTTCCTTCAGCCTTCACCGCACACTCAACTTAAGCTGTGTTGCCGACATGCGTTATGCTCGGCGGGCGACTCTGCCTCTTGATGTCGTCATACTCCGGTGGTGTCAAGCTGAAAAATTAAATACCATCGCCAGCTATTTTATCTGCCTCTTGATGTGGTCATGCTCCATTGGTGTCAAGCTGAAAAACTAAATACTATCGCCAGCTATTTTATCTGCCTCTTGATGTCGTCATACTCCATTGGTGTCAAGCTGAAAAACTAAATACTATCGCCAGCTATTTTATCTGCCTCTTGATGTGGTCATACTCCGTTGGTGTCACGCTGAAAAACCAAATGCTATTGCCAGCTACGGGTCCGGGCCAGTAGTTCGGACCCGGTTCGCAACCGTTGGCCGCCGGGTCAGTAGGCCGACGCGCCGGCTCAGCCGGCCGTCGGCGGGGTGAGCCGGCGGGTCCGTCCTATCAGTCCGTCACCGCCCAGTGCACCGTTGTGCCTGCTGCAGGTGACGACACGCGGCGAGGACCGCCGACGGGGAGACTCAGTCACTGGAGCCCCGACGGGCGCATCGCCGCGAGCGACCTCGCCCCCGGCTGCCGCGCGGAGGGCCCGCGAGAGCCTGTCCAGCCGCCGGCGACTGCGGAGAAGCACTCGGGGCGGCGGCTCAGTTAGTGGCCGGCAGAGCGGCAGTGTGCGATCGTGCCGAGCCGGCCGAGCCTGCGGAGCGTCTGGCGGGGGAGGTGCTCGCGGAAGTCGCGCGGCCTCTGAGCTGATCGGCCGGAGCTGAGGAGCCGCCGGGGAGCTCAGACCGCGGTCTGCAGTCAGAAGCGATGTCGTCCGGCGGGGGCGACTTCTCCGCGGCCGTGGAAGAGACCCCGGAGGCCTGGGATGGCAACGCTAAGAGCCGACAGGCGTACCCCTCTCAGGCAACTGCCTCAGAGGTCTCAAGTGCCGCCGCGACACGTCGCGAAGCCTCCCCGTCGGAAGTAAATCCGGAGCTGACAGCTAACCTCGCGAGTCTCCTCAGGAAGTTAAGCAAAGACCAAGGTCCGCTCACTGACAGCCCGAGGCCGGTAGAGAGCCCCGACGGCAGGCCGGACTCCAACACTGGCTCAGCGACAGGCGGTCAGTCCGCCGGCGGTGGCGACGTCGGCGGTGCCTCCGAAGGCGACGAGCGCGCCGCCGCGAGCCGCGCCGCGCCACCCGGCGGCCCGTTCGTCGCCGCCCTGGACGTGGGCACGACGTCGGTGCGCTGCGTGGTGCTGGACCGGCGCATGGAGCGGCGCGGCCTCTGCCGGCGGCCCGTGCGCCTGCTCTACCCGCAGCCGGAGCATGTCGAGATCGACCCGGACCAGCTGTTCGAGGCCGTGTGTGAGGTGATTCGCGGCGCTATCAGCGACGCCGGACTCACCGCCGACCAGGTGGGTGCGGCCGGAGCGGCCTCTGCTGCCCGCGGGGCCACTTCCTCTCTCATGGGCTGTCTTCTGAGCCCGCCGCGGCGCCGACGCTACCCCCTGTGTCGCCGGCGCAGCCCCTGTGGCACCGGCGCAGCCACCTGTGTCGCTAGCTGGGTCACCTGTGTTGCCAGCTGGGTCACCTGTATCGCCAGCTGGGTCACCTGTGTCGCTGGCGCAGCCCCCTGTGTTGCTAGCTGGGACACCCGTGTCGCTAGCTGGGTCACCTGTGTCGCTAGCGCAACCCCCTGTGTTACCAGCTGGGTCACCTGTGTCGCTAGCGCAGCCTCCTGTATCGCCGGCTGGGCCACCTGTGTTGCGGCTGGGTCACCTGTGTTGCCGGCTGGGTCACCTGTGTTGCCCGGTGGGTCGCCTGTGTGTGGCATGTGTGACGTGTCGGGGTCCCTGTATCGCGTATTGAGCTCTTGTAAGGTCTACTAATCCCTCGTGTAATCTGACAATTTGCATGGCCTGTTGAGTCCGCTTTGTCAGCCTTTGAATCCATATTTCGCCTGTTGAGCGCCTGTGTGACCTGCTGAGTTCCTTTGTCGCATGCTGGGTCGCTGTGCTGACTGTCGAGCTCGCTGTGTCGCACACTGAGCCCTCGGTGTCGCTCGCTCGTAACGTGTTTGCCTCTTATTTGTCGCTCGACCAATTTTGCCGTGTTTCCGCCAGATTGCGACCCTGGGGATCAGCACTCAGCGTGCTTCTTTCACCACCTGGAGTCGGGAAACCGGCAAACACTACCACAACATCGTCTGCTGGAACGACAGAAGGGCCAGCGATCTGGTCCAATCTTGGAACGCGTCAGTAAAAAGTCCCTGAAGCAGCAGGCAGTCAATTTACATCGTTTCGTGGCTAAGAGCCGTCTGTTTATGATTCTGGGAAGCCCATGATGACGTATGATCGAAACGTGAGTGCTGTCCAAGAATGCTGTCGCATTGTAAAGCTGTAGGACCAGAGCTTGCGGCTACGCATGCTGACGGCTTCCATTGCTTCGCTTTCCTGCCACCAACCATGCTATGTGGTATAATCTGAGCTCGGTTCGGTTCAAACGAATCGTCCTGTCCCTCCTGCAGCACCAACCTGGCGCCAGACGCCATCGCTGCCCCATCCACCAACGCCCCCCTGACCTGCTGCCGCCGCGCCCGATGCTGCCACCTAGCACGCCACCGCGCTGGCGCCGCGCTAAAACGGCCTCTCCAGTGCTGCTACGCTTCCCCACTGGTTCTTCAACGCGCCAGCACCTCAACACCAGGTGGCGTTGTGTTTCTGGGTTGCTGGCACTCAACGCCACTGACACCTGATGAGCTTCTTACCGACACCTCGCACCTGAGTTCCCGCTACCAGCGTCGTGCCCCAGCGCCCTCCCCTGACCCGGAGTCGTAGCTGACTCATACCAGAGAGTCGGAGCTCGGGGTGGAGCTCCGACGCGCTGGCCCACCGGCCGCCCGCCGAGCCGGTGTTGGTGGAGCCCGAGTCGTCGCCGCGTCTGATTGCCTCCACTGATGCCGCCGCCTCTGATCTCCGCCTCTGACCGCCGCCTCTGACCACCGCCTCTGACCGCCGCCGCTGACCGCCGCCGCTGACCGCCGCCGCTGACCGCCGCCTCTGACCGCCGCCTCTGACCTCCGCCTATGACCGCCGCCTCTTACCGCTGTCTCTGACCGCCGCCTCTGACCGCCGCCTCCGACCGCCGCCTCTGATCTCCACCTCTTACCGCCGCCTCTGACCTCCGCCTATGACCGCCGCCTCTTGCCGCTGTCTCTGACCGCCGCCTCTGACCGCCGCCTCTGACCGCAGCCTCCGACCGCAGCTCCTGACCGTCGCTCCTGACCACCGCCTCTGACCGCCGCCTCCGACCGCTGCCCTGACCTCCGCCTCTGACCGCCGCCTCTGACCGCCGCCTCTGACTGCCGCCTCTGACCACCGCTCTGGCCGCCGCCTAACCGTCGCTCCTGACCACGCCCTGACCCGCCTCTGACACCGCCTGACCTCCGCTCTGGCCGCCGCCTCTGGCCGCCGCCTCTGACCGCCGCCTCTGACCGCCGCCTCTGACCGCCTCTGACCGCCGCCTCTGACCGCCGCCCTGACCGTCGCCTCTGACCGCCGCTGGCGCGCTCTGACGCCGCCCGCCTCTGACCGCCTCTTTGACCGCCTGACCGCGCTCTGACCGCCGCCTCTGACCGCCGCCTCTGACGCCGCCTCTGACGCCGCCGCCTCTGACCGCCGCCTCTGACCGCCGCCTCTGACCGCCGCCTCTGACCGCCGCCTCGACCGCGCCCCTGACCGCGCTCTGACCGCCGCCTCTGACCGCCCGCCTCTGACCGCGCCTCTGACCGCCGCCCTGACGCCGCCTCTGACCCGCCTCTGACCTCCGCCTCTGACCGCCGCCTCTGACCGCCGCCTCTGACCTCCGCCTTGACTCCGCCTCTGACCTCCGCTCTGACCTCCGCCTCTGACGCCGCCTCTGACCGCCGCCTCTGACCGCCGCCTCTGACCGCCGCCTCTGACCGCCGCCTCTGACCCCGCCTCTGACCGCCGCCTCTGACCGCCGCCTCTAACCTCCGCCTCTGACCGCCGCCTCTGACCTCCGCCTCTGACCGCCGCCTCTGACCGCCGCCTCTGACGTGGCGTCTCCGGTTGCAGCTCACTGATGTTCCGGCTGCCGGCACACGCCGCCTGGCTGCTGCACAAGGTGACGGGCAACCCGCGCCTCCAGGCTGTCAGCGTGCTGCGCCTGATGAACCAGCAGGTGGGACGGTGACGTCACTGGGCTGGTCAGCTGACTGCCCCGTCCGCGCCGACGTGGTGCGGCCCGATGGCCTGTCGCGTGAGAGCGGTCTGGGAGGAATGCAGTGGTGCCTGTGGGATTGCCGCCCGGCGAAAGGGAGCCTGGATTCTATGCCACGGTCTACCTGAAGTTGATGTCGTGGGGAGGGTTCTCAGGCATCGACTACTTCGCTGCCGAGCCCAGACAACATTTCTGTTCTTGAAGCTGTGTTTTGATGTGTGGAATTTTTACCTTTGCTATGAAAGTTGCGAATGAATGGCCAATCAGGATGGGTCTCGTCTCTAGATATGTTCGGCACCTAATGGGGTGAAACCCTGAGGGTGTACAGTCTGTTGACCTTTCCTACCTCGTGTAAACATTCCCGCTCGACAAGAAGACCTTCCGGGTCAGGTTAAGATGACGAGCTGTTGCTTGTGAGGCTACTATACACATATGCAGGAATCCGCTATAGTTGTCTCGTACCAATGAATTCCACCCTTGGGCCGCCCCCACACTACCACCGACCGCCCCTCACTCTCCGCCACGTACCGTCCCCCACTCTCTACCACAACCCATCCCTCACTCCGTACCCCGGCCCGCCCCTCACTCTCTTCCACGGACTACCCCTCGCTCTCTACCGCAACTTCCCCTCACGCTACCGCAGATCGGCCCTCACTCCCTAACACAGACCGCCACTCCCTCCCTACCACAGACCGCCCCTCACTCTCCCGTCTATTCCCAGGTGACGATGCGCCTGCTTTGGTGCATGCAAAACGTAGCCTCGCTGAAGGCGGACATCGCGCGCGAGAAGGCGCTCTTCGGCACGGTCGAGACCGTACCTGTCTGTACCGGCTCACCGGCGGAAGGACTGCACGTGTCCGACCGCACCACAAGCCTCCGTCACCGGCTTCTACGACCCGTACCTCATGTGCTGGTCCGGCTATGCACGCTTCATGTTCGGCGTGGCGCCGCCCAGTATGCTGCCCCGCGTCGTGTCCACCACGCACGACTTCGGCGCCACGCGAGCCGACCTGCTCGGCGCCGCTGTGCCCCTCGGCTGCGTCATCGGCGACCAGGGCGCGTCGCTGTTCGGCGCCGGCTACGCGCGCCGCGGCGACGTGGCCGTTACGCTCGGCACCGGCTCGTTCATGGACGTGAACACGGGCGCGAGTCCGCACACGTCGGTGCGGGGCCTGTACCCGGCCGTCGCCTGGCAGCGAGGCGACGAGGTGGTCTTCATGGCTGAGGGCTCGGCCGGCGACACGGCCGTTAGCGTGCTCTGGGGACGCCAGGTGGGCTTGTACGACGCCGTGGAGGAGACGGCGGCGCTGGCCGCGTCGGTGCCTGACGCCGGCGGCGTACTGTTCGTGCCGGCCTTCTCCGGCCTCGCGGCGCCCGTCAACGACTTCAAGGCGGCGGCCGGCTTCATTGGCGTGACGGCAGCGACGACGCGTGCGCACCTGACGCGCGCCATCCTGCAGGCGATAGCGTTCCGGCTGCGTCAGCTGTACGACAGCATGCGCGCCGAGGCGGCGTTCCCGCTGCACCACGTGCGCGTGTCGGGCGGCGTGGCCAACAATGACCTGGTGTGTCAGCTGGCGGCGGACGTGCTCGACGTGCGCCTGGAGCGGCCGGCCGACGTGGAGACGTCGGTGCGCGGCGCGGCGGCGCTGGCCGGCCTGGCCGCCGGCGTGTGGCGCGACGAGGCCGAGGTGGACGCGCTCCGGCGCGTGGGCCGCGTGTTCACGCCCGACAAGGCGTCCGGAGACAGGCTGCGCGCCGAGATGGTCGAGTGGGGGCGCGCTGTCCAGCGCTTCGGCCAATGGTACGCCGACGATGTCAAGTGAGCGGCAGACGGCGGGCGGTGGACGGCGCGAGAGGAGCTTCTGCCCCGGTATCGATGTCGTGGACGAGATGATGGGATCAGACATCGGTTGGGAAGTCTGTGTATCCACGGCGATGGCAAGAAGGGCTTTCTTCAGCCGTGACTGAGCGCTGTTGAGTGCTCATTGCGGCATATTCCGGCGATGGTTCGGAGACGGAAAAGTGGCAAAGGATGGGAAGATTATTTGAGATTAGCAACTGACGCGAGGACACAGGAGTTATTTCCGTTGCGTTCTTACGCGAGGCTGCTGGCAAGCCCGCTAATGGTAAGAACGGGGTCTGGTAGAAATGGTAAGCAGAGTGCAAATGAAGCTCATGGAATTACGCCGCCCACGAAGCCCCGTGTTATCTGTTATCAAGGCGTTTCCCGGACGCGTCTGAACAAATCACTGAGGCTCATGTTTCAAGGTATGTACAAGTCCCAACCCGGCCAGTGTTCTACAACGCCTCTCCAACAGTTCCCGTGTGCGCCACGCGTCCGAACCTTTGCGTGTGGCACCCTCGCGTTGCAGCCAGGCAGACTTCCACTGTTTTTGCTCCCGATAGATGGCGGTACCGCACGGTGATTGCCCACGGCTCGGCGGGCTGTGCTTGACTTGATTCTTGCCACGTGGTGATGGGGTAGTGTTAATGCATTGAAAACAATTGGTCTTTAGCATGTGTTCGGCCATGCATGGGAGAATGGGGTGATGTTTTCCTGTCATGACGGGTGCTGGTCCATTGTTTTCGATAGATTTTGTGTGAGAAGGGTTAGGGTGAATATTTTTTAGCATGTATGCATATTGATACGGGCTGCGCCATTGCTAATCGCAGAACTGCAGCATATTGATCAAGAAGTGCAAAATTGTTTTAAACAAATAGAAGTGCAAACAAATGCGCATCAAAATACGGAACAAACCATGACGCGCATTGCACCATAGTCCGCTAGTTCGTACTCTTGCAGCTGAGATGGCAGCACATAAAGCGTCAAGTTACACTGCAATCTGCACATTTGTGTCAATGCTAGGGGCGTCGCGTGATGAGGAGTGTTTTGCCTTTCCGGATTGGCCACGATTCGATTCGTTACCGGTGGCGTAGTGTGTGATCCAAATGACTGTTGAGCCGACAGTTGTGCTCTCGTATCGAAGATTGTGCTGAAATGAGGGTCTAGCCTAACCTGATATTTTTATAGCATCGTGCATTGTCTTTATACAGCGTGGTGGCTTCCGCTAGATAAAGGGACAACAAGGAAGTAATCGTTGCATGTACTGTGGCAGTACAACTGTAATCCGTCGTCCATGATGATGCCGCAGGGGACGAACTCGGCGTCCCATACTGACCCACATCGGCCTACTCGTCTTCCATGTTGCTCCATATTGATGTGCTCGTCACTATGTGGCGACCTACCATTCTCCCTGAACAGCAGAACCTGCGCGTTTTATCAGTGTTAATGGTATCGTTCGTATGCATGAATTGTGACTTGGCAGCCCATGAATCGTGATGCTATTTGCGCTTGTCAGAAATGGGCCCGGTGCATGGGGTCAGACCAAATGCGTACGCTTTTGCAGTACTTGCTCATGGCTATCCGCCCACTATTGGCATAATATACTCAGCATGAAATCAATGTGGCCTTGTTTTCTCAGTGGAGCGGTTGCTTCCGAGGTCTGACTGGTGCAGGTTGTGTTGAGACTACCCTGCCGTCAACCTGCTGTGTTACTTGCCCAACCAATGGCATCGTGAGCAGAGGGTCCCAAATCTGGGAGTGAGATACCATGGATTTTCAGGGGTGTCATTCAAAGTCCCGTCTGAAACCGCGCATTCTGCTTCTTACGTGGGCCTCGAATTAAGGCCCCATTTCGCATGGATTTGGGGGCCGTTCTGCTTGCTGTTAATGCCGCCCTTCCTTGGACTTACGGTGCCAGCACAGCTGACAGTGGCGGGAAGGATAGGGTAATGCTTTGAGGTACTCAGGGCGGGGCGCAAGACCTAAGGTCACCTCTTTACCTCCTTGGGATCGCTGCTGGTTGCCGTTGTCTACCGTCTTGTTTCCAGGCTTTGTTTACATCCTCTGATGAGTCCGTTCGCTGATTACTGCTATTGCGTCATCAGCCGCGATGTTGTGTTTCGGTCGCGCGCGCGATAATATCGCAACTCGCTGGGAACGCAGAAGGCTGCGCGGCAAACTCTGACCGCTCGGACGGGCTCGCAAGAGCTCAGCGGCCGGTCCGTACCGGCGACCGGGGCGAGTCACCACGCCCCTGACAAGGTCACGGGGTCAGCTAATCGGGGCTCAGGGCCGGCCCTGACGTCGGCAGTGCAATCTGCTTAGTTTTTGCAGTTCGCTAACACCCGGTTCTCGGGGAGTCGGCCTCCCACCCCGGCCGGGAAAACACCCGAGGCCCAGCTGTCGTTGAGCAGAGCTTCGCCGGAGGAAAACGAGCCGACCCCGCCACCAGCGCCATCTACGCGCCGGTGGTAATTCTGGCGCGGCCGGGCAGTGTTTTGCGACAGAACAGGATGTTGTTGGCGGCCCGTGCACTGACGCGTCCCGGCTTAAGGTGACCGCGGCTAATCCTGCGCTGACGAGTCGCGTTCTCAGTGAAGCCCGCCGGCTGCTGGCGGGGTGGAAGGCCACCAGCAATCACAACACGTAACAGAGATGTGCTTCGTTTGATTTGTTGTCACTCGATTTCAAACGGGACATTTCCAGCGTTGTTTGTGGGTCGTTTGGATAGCAAAGCAATCACATGCTCAATGGCTTCAGAAATAATGGCCGAGAAACCGGATCCCTGTGTCTATTCGTGGGTGTTCGAAGCTTTACGGATTATGCTTGGAATCCTGCGTATTCACTGTTCTCACGTTTGTACCTATAGAGAGATAGTGATTCATATCATGCATGACCCGTTTTTGTTTTGCCGACCATTTTGCTGACCGACCGAGGCAGCTTTTATTAGTTAGAAATACTGCGATGGTTTCATCAAGACACCATCATCAGCCACATCTGCATAAGGGTTTTTGAATTTTGCTCGGTCACACATCTTCAGCGGATCGTCTCAGAACGGCAGAGCTGAGATCCCGATTTGTGATGCTCTGGATCGGTCCCGTGCGTTAGGGGAGCATGCTACCTTTTTGTATTTTTCATCTATTAATAGATAAGACGCGTTCGATTTAGTCGGTAATGCCAGATCTCTTGAAACCCATCAACTAGCTCAGAATTTTGGTTTGTAGTAACCGTTCCTGCGGGAGAAAATTCATTGACTTTCCTGCTAATTGCTATGACGGCGATACATTTAATATTTCTGGCTTTTCGAACGTATGTGCTCTGCAATGTTTGCAACACTTTGGTCGTCAAAACGTTTGTCTAATGAGTGCTACAAAAGCTTGAAACTTTCTAACAAGAGAAAAATGTACGCAAACATGGGGCTATCATCCCGGGAATTCAACGAAACGTTATACTGTGGCGTACACAGAGCACACAGGTGATTTCTACCCTATGGCGTTTACCGCGGTGGCTCTTTCCGAAGCGCAGTTTGTTTTTGGGAGACGCAGTATGACATGGTCTACAGTAATGCACTGGTTTCAACTTCATTCAACGCATAGGCGGATCCTGGGGGGAGGGCACGGGGCCATGCTCCCCCCCCCCCCCCGAAAACCTCTGAGAGTATGTTTTGCCCCCACAAAACATTCCCAGAACTTCATAAAAGTTCCGTCTACTTACCGTCTGTTTGAACTTCAACTGTTTTGTTTTAACTTCTGTTTAAGATTCAAAAGCACTTCGTTTTTTTCTGTTTTGAATGGTGTCTCTGCTAGGTACTCGCGAGAGGCACCATGCACTGAACTTCGGATCCCACACCAGCCAGCTGGCGACGAACGGTTTGCCCCCCCCCCCCAAAAAAAAACAACAACTCCAGGCCGGATCCGCCTCTGATTCAATGCGCTTCTCGGTAACTAGCCCTTGCCGCTCACTGTTCCAATCACAAACGTGCCTTTGTGCTGACACTTTTTGTCAGAAGACGTGCCATTTGAAGCCCGCGGGCCCGCTATGTGCGAGTTAAAGCAGCTCAAAAGTGACATCTCCAGTCCGTAACACCTGACAACGACTCTCAGTGGATTCCGCCGTTGTCATGACGACGGCGGTCACAGCACGTGCAGTTGTCACGGATTTGGGATACACTCTAGGGCTGCCCAGAAAAGAAGAAGTGTAGAGTTGTTACAAAGTGTTCACAGCATAATTTGGACTTGAAAATAATCAAGATTTATATTCTTATCGTATCCTGACTGCGGTACAGTGGTACTTCCCAGTGTTACTACTAGACTTAATGGTCCTGCGGCTTCACCAGAGTATGTTTTTTTGCAATATGCCCCAAAGACGGGGCACTCCCTTCAGCTATGCTAGAAGTCGGGCGCCACTTCAGAATTGGGGAGATTTTTATTTGGGGAGTCGAAAGGAGGGGCAAACTCATTAAACCAATTACATGAGTCATTATTGGGTTGAGTCGACTCAGTTGATCGCAATCATCGATCAGTCGACAAAAGTAGGGCTGGTAACAAGTAAGACGTAACAAGGCGTATTCTTACTCAGATAGCGTTTATGTGTGCAGCAAATAGGACACGGTTTAGATGCATCGCTGTGCCATTCAAATATGCCCTATGCAGGCATCACATATGATATAATCAAACATAATTAACTCAGTCAATTGAATGGTTCGTCCTCTACTCTTGTTACTGAAGTAGGTTACAGCGGAACTGAATGACATCTTGAACCGAAATCGGGGGCCACTCGGAATTGCGTGGTGCTGCCCGGAATCGGAGTCGGAATCAACCCAATGCACCATAAGTCGGCGTAGGTGCAGATTCCAGCAGGACATCAAGCACGACCCTGCCACGGAAGTTAATATCACTCGTTGGGATGCCTTGCCCATATCTATTTCCGACGAGGTTATATCGCTCGTCGTGTGGCCGTCCGCACAAGCCGTTGCTGCGCAGCTGATGCAATCAGCTTGCCAGGATTGCGAGCAATATCATTATCTCTGCTGCTAAGCACCGGGTGTTAAGCTAATTGCACCTCTGCGCTGGTGCTTCAGCTTCTGCGCACCATTCGAGATTTGGCCGTGTGTGTGTTATGCGCTGTTGACCCAGTAACCTGAACCCCGAAATATACATTGCGCAGTTATCAAAGGCATTGACATAGGGTGCGCACCGAAAGCAAGCGCATTCCGCGGCGCCCACCCTGCATCGCTTTGCAGCTTAGGCCGGCTTATATCGGGCTCCATATGGCTATAGTTGCCTGACAACTTCAGTATCTTACTAATGCCCGTCGCCCGTCACATTAAGGCCGTCATCTCCGCGTCTGGGATAATCAAATAAGTGGCGCTGGAGCCGGGCTAACCAAGGTCGTCCAGGCACGTGGGCATCTGAGTCGTCGTGGAGGAGCTTGCGCCATGGTGCTCGCCCGTTACAACCAAGCATGCAACGCTCTCTATTATCACCCATATATTCTTTTGACAGAGCACGAGATTTGCAGAGCTGCAGTGGGCTCTTCTCTGGCCCGTCGGCATCCTCAGCATTCTCATCGGTCAGCAGCGGCTTACCCTCGCTGGCTGCTGCGGGATAACGAGACAGACAGTGGATACTCGACCACCCCATATGGTCGTTGACTGAGGCCGTAAATGACGTCAGATCGCGAGTTTTGGGGCTACTTGACAACCAAATTTCATTATTTGCATTCAGATCGCGACATTTATGAAAGCATCATTGCATTCTTGAGCTCTGGGAAGGGGTGAAAATACAGAAAATGATCCGACTTCAGTGTGTCAGGAGCCAATGGTTAAATGACGTTATCAAGCAAGAACTTGTTACACCGAGAACACGCGACGTTTCAAAGCTATGCTTATGAGCGTGAGATAGTTGTGACTGTGACACAGGTGGCCATGACACGGCGCTTCGAAATGTCGAGATTTCAAAATATAACCAACGTTTGCTTGACAAACGCCGTTTGACCAGTACCTCCTGGCACACTGAAGGTTCATTAATTTTGGCATATTGATTTCAGCACAAGAACTCTCAGCCAAAATCAGCAAAGAGTTTCTATTCTGACAAACATTTACCTTCAATATGCCATAAGATACCGGCTAAGCAACGTTATTGAGAAGATAACGGTTTGATTGTCAAAACTCGACGTTTCAAGCTGTGCTGATGATAACGAGTGTACGTTTAAGATCACTTACCATTTGCATAATTTCTTGACCCATGATGCCGAAAAACAGGAGCTCAAGGTCCTCCTTGCCTGCATCAACTGCAACTTGTATTTCTTGTGCAGATCCGGTATTCTGAGCACGCCCTTTGTGACCATGTACTGTCCTGACTAACACAACGTCATGGGAC